CTAATAGTATTAATTTCATAACACTATAAGAATTCTACAATAGCTGAAGTACCCAAAGGCATAACAATATGTCCTACAACTATTGTAGGATAAGAATAGTATAATGAAAATCTTAAGGGGTTATCATCAATATCTTTTCTCCAAAATATATTTGTTCTTGCAGTTGATAAAAATGATCCATGAAATGTTGAAGCTACATCTAATTTGAGACCTCTTAGAATATGCTTTTATCTTTAAAATAAGTTTTCCTAGCAGAGTCCTGCCTTAACTCCAAAGAAATTTGAATACTCTAAGAAAAATATCAAGAGCATAAACCTCATTGAAAAGAAAATTAAAATATTTAGATATATAGAATTTACTTCTTTCTAAATTCATTTGTTTAAATCCTTAAAATTCTATTGAATTTGGTATATGTTAATGTCTCTTTATTTAAACTCATAAGATATATTAGGGTTTATTTCTTATACAGAAGAGATTATATAAATATGAATTTTTGTTTTATTATTAATGTAATATATATCCTAATGTTTTAAGATATAATTTTTCAAAAGAATAATCTTTAGGCTTTAAATTTATTAATTCTTATAAATTGATCCCTTAATAAAATGAGTAATCCCTTTTTAACTATTGACACTTATATCAAAATATTATTACACTTTTTGATAATATATTGGAAATAAAACAATTGGCAACAATTAAGATTAAATTATGGGCCTAATTAGTAAGTTGAGAATCTTAATATTTCTATTGTAATTGATAGACCGAAAAATAATGAATTTTTATGAGTTCAATTCAATTTATTACTTATCATTTTTATCAACCTTTAAAGCTTTAAATATAATGTCATTTAATTCAAAAAGAAAATAATTGATACAATAATAGTAGTAAGCATAAAGGTGATACATAAACTTTAAACTTTATGAATAAATCTGATCACTTAATATTTAGAAGTGATGATAAATCAATTATAATATGGTCTATGAATTAAAGTAACTAATGGATTTACTAATAGAAATTAAATGGACATAATAATTATATATATAGTATCTTTTGAATAATAATGAGGATTTGATCATTTCAGGTAGTTGTGATTGTACTATTAGATTTTAGAAGAAATAAAATCAATGGCTATGTTAATAAACTATCACAGTTCATACTAGTCATGTATAAGGATTAATTTTGAATTAACAATAGAATAAAGTGATTTCATGTGGAAGGGAGGAATAAATATTAATAATAGAACAATCATAAAAGGATACTAAATGAATTGTAATTTAAAGATAATGGTTGAAACACTTGGTTATAGAATATGATTTATAAATGATAATGTATTCACTTTTTAATCATATTACAAAGAATAAACACATGCTTATCAAATGAGTAATACTAATAAATAGTATGTAAAAACTACAGATATTCTTGTTAAAGGTGGAAATGATAAGTTTTTATTTCGTTAATAGCTTATACAATCAAAATGACTGCTTGTAAATAAGAATGCAAGTATGTGAATTTGCTAAGGACAAAGGAAAATAGTGAGTTCAAAACTTATAATCCATTGAATTTAGAGGTAATTTTATATCTGGATGTATGAGTGATGACGATTAACTTTGGATGAAGATTCAAGAGAAATTCAAATTAGAAAATATATAATTTATAATTATTCATTTCAGCCTTCTGAATATTAAATAACATGTTTGTAAAATTTTGCTTCAATAATAATCCTCTATTTCATCTGACTGTTATGAAGTTAATTTGAAATATTCTTATAAATAATTTAAGGGCTATGATATTATTTGCATTGCGTTAAGTTAACTTAGTTTTTCAATTTTATAATTTTATGTGATTTTGAAAAATCTAATAAAAATTAGAATGTTGTTCAAATAATACAATTTTATATTTTGTAGAAATAAAAATGATTTAAACCAAGTTTAAAAAAAAAATTGACAACAGAAATTAAGATCAAATTTTATTCTTAAGGAAAAATGATTAATTTCATTTTGTAAACAATATATTCAAATTATATTTAACAGAGAAAGAGTAATAAATTACTTGAAAGTAAGTTTGAAGTTTTCACTATATTTTAAAAATTCTAGAGTTATTTCAATTATTAAAACAAATAATATAATCTAAATGTATATATATTGAGTTCAAAATGCACTAACAACAACGATTCAAGTAATTTAAAAGAAAAAAATAAAAATAAATAGAGGTTAATAATTAAATTTGAAAATTGAACCATAAATTTAATTTAGATCAATAAAATAAATCGCATCTTGATAGAAGAATTATTTTTATAAAAAATATGTGAAAGAAATTGCAGTAATTTTATGAAAAAAGTATATTTTATCCAATCTACTATTTTGATATAATTCAATTTCATAAGGATTCTAGGACAAAAATTATGTTTTCCTTCTAAAAGACCTGTAGAATAAGAAAATACGCCACCAAATATGCAGTAAATATAAAATTAATATCCTTCAAAAGGTTTGATTCAAAATATGATTTCATAAAGCCAATTAACACATTATTGAAATTATTAAGAAAATTATTTAAAAGGAAGTAAACAATTTATATTAGTGAAGATAATGAGTATTCTGAAACAAAAGTTAAATTAGGTTAAGATTGAAAATGGATATACTAAACAAGGATCTCGTTTAAATTATTAAAGTAAATTAAAGGTAAATTATCATGAGAGATCAGTGATTGCAGCAAGAAATTAAGGAGGCAAATACTTCAAATTTTTACTTTTTAGAATGATTTTTAATTCCATCAAACTATTAATTTCTCAAAGAAAGAATAATAAAACACTATTAAAAAGCTTTCCCTAATAGAATACTAGATAAATAAGATTTGAAAGTATCAGGCTTTTAAACTAAACTTATAGGATTACATCATTAACATTACACCTTAAACATTAATACACTAAAAGATCTCTACTCATAACTCCTATTGTATTTATCATTTTCTATGTAACT